TGGGGCTTGCGGGCGGGCTCCGCCTGTGCACCGCGGGTGTGGGGAGCTGCGCCCGGCCCTGCGCCCAGCAGCCGCGCCTGCGCAGAAGCCCGGGAGGGAAAGTTAGGGTCAGTAGTGACAGGCGCGCGGGTCCGGGTCAGGGACGCACGGGGCAAATGTCAGGACTCGGCCGCAGAGACGCGGGATCTGATGGGCAGGCTTCTAAGTGGGCTGGGCCTTTGCACATCTGGGACAGCTCCTGGGCACATCTGGGTAAGGGCGCGGTGGACGGGGTCGCCCGCCGCAGCCCAGCGTACTCGTGGGCCACTGCTGCGCCGCGCGAGGCGGGGGCTTAGAACCCAGTCCGGGCCGCTGTCCAGCGGCGGGTCTGACCGCGACTGTGGCAGCCCCTGGGCACCAACGGCCAGCAGGGTGCGGGAGTCTGGCCGCTGCTGCTCAGCTGTACCAGTCCTGAGAGGCCAGCGGGCAGGGTGCCGGGAGGGCGGAAGGCATAGCCTGGTGTAGCGTTGTTTGGGCTTTTTTCTGGTGCTGGGGATTGAGCCCCGAGCCTCAAGCATGCTGGGCAAGTGCTCTTCCACCGGGCTACATCCCCAGCCACAGGCTGGCGTTTAGAAGAGGCGCAGGAAGCGGGAATAAAGCTTGTGAAGAAGCTGCCCAGGCAGGGTACCCTCCTTCAGGGCGCCCTCTCTGATACCCCGGCACGGTTATGTTCCTTCTGTGCTTTTACAGTATCCTGAGCTGTCTCCGTCTTTAAATCAGTTTGGTGGTATTGAGATGATCTAACGGTTTTCCTGTCTGCTCACCAAACTGTGAACACCTTGATGCTAAGAACTGTTTGGCCTTGAGTAGTGAGTGGCTATTCTGTTCTATTCTCAGCTAATCAGGAAGCTGAGGCAGGAGGATTGTTGGGCTCAGGAGTTTGAGGCCAGCCTTGGTAATATAGCAAGACACCATTTCTTTAAAAACAACAACAAAACCCCACTGTATTTCTGCGAATGGCTGTCTCTGGGCCCTGGCGCAGGACACGGGTCAGAGGAGTGCTGGGTAAATGGTCTTGAACGCACCTTCTCAGGGTATTTTGTGCTTACATCGTCCCTAGGGATAACTTCAGAACAGCCTAGCAGAAAGCCCTGGCTTTCTGGAACCACATTTCAGTAAGACAACTGAGGCGATCCTTCAAGGAAATCCGGGCTCAGAACCTACCTGAACTACTCACTAGCAATATGACCTGAGTAGCACCTAGCAATGCCTTCCCACACCTCAGTTTCCTTATCTGCAAAATGGGGGTGATGATCCCACAGACTCACAGGGCTGTCTTGAAAAGAAGCTAAACTCTTGGGTGTGCAGGCGGTAAAAACATCTTGAGAAAGGTCTTTAAGACTTGTACAGAGGTAAGAAGTTATTAATAGCTTCATTATTATTCCTACCCAGAATGCCCAGGGAAAAGCAGCATGTGGCAGCCCAGCCCCCGCACCCCACCTTCCCATACTATTTCTGTACCTGGAAAGCAGGTTCTTGGAGTGTTAGTCCTTGGTTTGCCACTGTGGGGGAAAGAGGGTGAATGTCTGGGATGGGCCTCCCTTGGTTCCCAGCCGGCCCTCCCTGGGCCCCTGACCAAACCCTCAGGTTCAGAAAGCGCCGCTGACAGGAGGACCCAGCCAGCTGCAAGGCTGTGGGTGACGCTTGTCTCTGTCGCTCGCTTGCTGCTGTGTGGTGCTGGTGAAGTGCTGAGGTGACCCCTCCTCAGGGAGGTCTGGACAGGTCTCATCATTCGGGCGAGGTGCTAGGGCCTCCTACCACCGGGGCCTGGCTACACAGGGAAGCAGCTTTTATTCATCCCCTGCATTTCGGAGGGGAGTGAGCAGCTCCTCCTGACTCTCCTCCTACAGCTCCGCCACGCCACAGCCCCCATCCCTAAAGAGAGCTCTGGACAGAAGTCAAGTAGAGCCAGCTTTCTGCTCTCCCACACCCCTCACTTCCCTGCCATGCAAGGGGGCAGCAGAGAGAGGCAGGTGGCCCACAGGTGCGGGAGGAACCCAGGTGTCTGGGCTGATGGTGTCCCTGTTCTCCACGATGTGCTGCAGACCCCCAGGCTCCGTGAGCCCACAGAATCCCCCGGGGTGGGAGCTCTTCGGGCCGGGCCTGGCTCTAACCTGTGGACGGCAGCCTGGGGGAGGAAGGGATCTGTAGAAGTGGGGTCTGCACTGGTGTGGGAATAACCAAGGCCCCGGTCAGCAACAGCAGGTGCAGAAGACCGAAAGCCAGGGAACGATCTCTGAGGTCCGGAGACGGCGGGAATCTGGAGTGAGGTGCAGGCCAAGGCCGCCCCAGCCCTGCCTGGTCTCCACTCTGCAGGGGGAAGACCCGTAGCAGCTCCTGCCAGGCCCGCGGCAATGTTCCATTATTAGAGAAATGCAACCTGGCCACCTCGAGGAGCTCTCCTGACGCCCCCCTCGGCCAACCAGGCCCCCTGGGCTCCCCCTCCCCCCTCGGCCAGCCAGGGCTGCTGCTGCTGACTTAAAACGCTGCCCTCCATTCTATCTTTAGCTCTGGCTGCTGGGAGCCTGAGTGACAGGCAGGGTGGGGGCCTGTGCTGGGGTGGGGAAATTTTACAGCTGCCGGGTTTGCTGAGAAGGTGGCACTGACTGCAAGGAGCGGGGCCCATGTGATATTCACTGCTCCATCTGAGGTCAGGGCCACGGCAGGACCGGGTTCCGCTCACGTGTGCGGGGCGGGGATGGATGGATGGGTGGGTGCATCCATGCATGGATGGAGCAGAGGCCCTGAGGAGGGAAAGACAGCAAGGCCAGCTGGTCCACAGACCAAGAGGACATGGACCTCGAAGGAACTCCGTGTGACTCTGGGCGAGTGGCTTCCCCTCTTGGCCTCCCTTTCTTTAGCTGTAGGATGGGACTAGGTCACTGGTTTTCATTTATATCGTGGACCACCACTACCCCACGGTCCCCGTCGTCTTTGCCACCTCACACGTAAAGGAAGGGAGGTGTGGGATTGACAGGGCCCTCCTGCTGGTTCCTCCCAGGCTGAACTTCCTGAAAAGAATTTTGCTAGGGCTGGGGGTTAGCTCAGCGGCAAAGTGCCTGCCTCGCAAGCGCAAGGTCGTGAGTTTGATTCCTGGTACCAGAAGAAAAAAAAAATTCTGCTAAAGTGCCCTGTGGCTACAGAGTGTGACGACCCCTGGACTGAACAGTTGTAAAAGATCCGTGGGAAGCTGTGGCTTGCTCAGGCACTGGGCAGGTTTGGGGGCCCAGACTGGCTCCAGGGGCAACTCTGTGTGTGTGTGTGTGTGTGGGGTTTGAACCCAAGGCCTTTGCACTTAGCTGCATCCCCAGCCTGCCTTATTTTAATTTTCAAATTTGGAGACAGGGTCTCACTAATAGCGCAGGCTGGGCTTGAATCTGCAGTCTTGCTGTCTCTCCTTTGCAGAGTGCTGGCACTCACAGGCACGTGCCCCCAGCGCCCGCTCAGGGGCAACTCTTGAATTCGCTCACGTTTTACTGGAGCCGGGAATAGTGAAGTCCTCTGGGTTATTCTTCCTCCTCACCCCCCGAAACCTCTGTCACACTCAGCGGGAGAGAATTCCTCAAACCCTGTTGCGGGCAGAATATTTCCAGCTTATTGGCTTTGGGTGTAGAGTGGTGTTTGTAACATGCGTAGTTACGTCACATTTTCCTCATTCATGTTATTTTGTTTACTTATCTTTGCAGTGCTGGGGACTGAGCCAAGAGCCCTGCTCGTGTCAGGTGAGCCCTCTACCACTGAGCTACACCCCTGCCACTACTTCCTTTTAGAAACGGGCAGCGTCCACCCTGTCCCTGCCAGTGTAAGGGTCCCGTTGGGGGTGGGGAGGAGTCGGGTCTTACAGGGGGTGCTAGCAGCCGCACTCCCGCCCCGGCTCCCTTGCAGCCCCAGGCAAGGGGCAGCAGCTGGGGCTGTCACCCCCACCCCCGTCTCTCGGGGAGCTCGGTTCTCCAAGAGCGTCCAGACTCGGTCGAAGGAAATTGCCTCTTGCAGCAGGTGGCAAGAATAGCCCGTCAGCCTCCTCTGTCAGGACTGATGTGAAAATCCCTCCTCTGCACGGAGGCACACAGCGAGCTCCCACGCAGCCAATTACTGTTTTCCAGTAAGAAAGCACAGAGGGCCCACGGGCGGGTGAGCAGAGGCCGCGGGGAAGCCCTTGGGGGCGGAAGGAGAGGGGGTGGAAGGGGCTGACCAACCTCTAGCCGGACCCAGGGCTAGAGACACCTGTGCTGACGCAGGGTCTGGAAGAGGCTGGCGACACAGAGGGGAGGCAGAGTCGGGACACACCCCGGGGGAGCATGCCAGGGCGCAGCAGGATCCAGCGGCCCAGCTGAACGAGTGAGGCCAGGAAATAAGGTCCCTGGCAAGCCAGGAAGGCGCCCGGTGAGCGCCTCAGCCTTCCTCTGGGACGTCCGGGGGCGGAATGGGCTTGTGCGGACCTCGGGGGAGCGACCCTACCCACCGTGCCTCCGGCTCCTGCCTTAGTGCGCGTCACCTCCGGCCCTGTGTGCTGCACTGGGACGCTCTGACCAGTCAGGCTGCCGGTGGAAGGCGTTTCTTCCTAGAGGTCGGCCCCTCTCACAGGGTTATTCAGTGGCCAGAGCCCCGGGCGTGGCTAGCAGGTGCCTGCTTTCTCTAGGCCCCGCTCTGGGGAACTTGTGCCGCTGAGGCCCATGGTGTCCTGCACTTTCTGCTGGGGACTTCCCTCCGCCTTCTTTCTGGAAAGCCTTTTCCTGCCTCTGTTTCCACAGCCTGGGTCTCGGTCCGGCCTCCCGCACTCAGCTCCCAGTGTGACACAAGCTCCTGCGTGGACGCTGTGCCCCGGCTTCTGCTCTTCCCACACACCGCCTGGGCTTCTGCTCGGAAGCCTGCTGCGGGTCCAGCAGTGCCTCGCACTGTGCCCGGCTTACTCACGGGGACTGCCCGGGCCCACTGCCTGCTCGCTGACCCGGCTCCCACGCTCAGACGCCGACGTGGCTCCGTCCGTAGACGACCAGCTTTCTACTTCCCCCTCTTGCAGACCCCCGCAGCACCTCCCTTCTCTGCCCAGTCATGGCATGCCCTGTGAACAGCAGGTCACTGCCTCCTCCCCGCCCGGAAGCCGCAGTACTCTCAGACTAACACGATCGGCCGCTCCGCTGGGGGTGCACAGATGAGGGGTGTGTGTGCAGGTTCCGTCACGTCCCTCCAGGGTCACCCTTCCCGCAGGGACCGTGCTGGTTCCCCTGGGAGGTGGGCCCGGGCCGCTGTCTGACTGGCAGCTTTGTTTTGGGGGAGGACGACCAGTGCAGGTTTGCCATCTGGAAGACGGCAGGACGGAGTCAGGTGAGAGGACCAGCTACAGTGGCCTTTCCGACAGCAGGGCTTCCCCAGGGCCCTGTCATGAAACCAGGGCCGCGTGGTGTCTGCCAGCCCCATTCCACAGCACTCCTCCCCGCATGCCAGGCGAGGTGCAGACACAGCCACTTGTCACCTGCAGGGTGGCTTGGACCGCTTGGGCTCCTGCACACTGCTGAGGGGTGAGGGGTGGGGGCGATTTGGGGCACGGAGTCGGCTCAGCACACGGTCCGGGCTGTTGTGTGGTTTTATTATTTATTTATTTATTTTTTCCGGTACCAGGAATCGAACTCACGACCTTGCGCTCGCCGGGCAGGCGCTGTGCCGCTGAGCTAAGTCCCCAGCCCCCTGTTGTGTGGTTTTAGATGCAGAGATGCGAGCGCCGTGTGTGTCTGCTGCACAGTCTGCCGGTTTAACTCAGATTAACCTTTAGGCGCTTTCCGGCCTGTGATCTCTTTGTTTATTAGAAAATGAAAAGCTCCCCCTGCCAGCAATTAATTTACCAAAATAAACAAGATTTCTGCTTTTCGTGACAAAGACAGTCCCTGAATGCCAATCTCAGGGCTGCCAGATTGCAGTTTCAAGAGGGCGCAGGCAGCGCGGGTACGGCGGGCAGGTGGTTCACTGCGGAGCCGACGCGCAGAGGAGAAGCCCGCTCAAGGGGGTCTGGGGGAAGCACCGCCCGGGTTCCGTCCGCCTCAAATTTTCTGGCAGCAAATCTCCGTGCTCCCACCCTCTTGGCTCCCACCCTCCCTTTTCTCACTGCAGATGGTTCTCGGTGTTTTCCCTGTCCTGTTTGGTTTATCCCAGCTCCTTCCTGACATGGGCGCGGCCCGATCCTCTGCTGCCACCACTTCGCTGCCCATCGGCCGCTCGAGGCGTTTGCTGGCCTGATCCTCTCGTCCAAGAGCCGCTCCTGGGGCCGGTGACCGGACAGACAGGGTCCAGACTGCAGGCCCCACCTCGCTTCTCCGCTAGGCCCTGCGTGGCCAGGGCAGGACAGAGGAGGCAGAGCCGCCTGGAAGCTCAGGAGGGTGAGACGGATGTGCTCAGGGAGGCAGAGCGCAGAGCGGGGCTGGGGGTGGAGGCGCTGAGTGGCACCAGCCCAAGACCGTTAGAGACCACACTGCGGGGGTTCAAAGCGGCCCGATTAAGCCTGGGAACATTGACTTCCTCCTCTCAGCCCCGCTGGGAACCAGCCCTGTGATCACAGAGCGATCATGGCTGCTGCTGTCCCAGGCCCAGCACGCCCCTGGGTGGGGAGAGAAGGACTCACCAGTCCTCCTCAGACACCGACTCCTCCAACTGCCCACCTCGCCGGGCTGCTTCTGAGGACGCTGCTGCTCCAGCTCAGCAGTGTGCGTGCTTATCTGTCCTGGGGTTTTATCTACTCGGTCCCGGGGATTCCCGGCGGATCAGTGAGGTGGGTGGGCCTGGCTTCACGGTGCCTGGGGTTCAAAACAGACTCAGCCGCAGCGTCCCGGCACTCGCGGTTCTCCTGGAGTCCAGATAAACACGGGTAACGATGGAAACTGCAGAGAAACTCGAGGGTCATTTCCCCAGCGCAGCCACACGAGGTTACAGACTCCCGTCCGCCCTGCTCTCATGCCGCTGTTCCTCGTCACCTCCCGCAGGAGTCTGTCCCAGAACAGGCTGGTCACAGCACCCCAGGGAGTCTTCTCACCTGGATCCTTTGAAGAGACACAAGTGGCCCCAAGTCTCTTTGGCGGGGTGGCTAGGAAAAGGACTCTTGATAACATTTAATTAGCAGTTTACAGTCCAGACTCAATGAGCTGTTTGCTATGGACTGAGTTCAGCCCGGGATGTCCAACTACTGTGCCCGCAGGGTACTGCGTCAGGTCTCAGTGGGAGTGGTGTGTGGTACAAAACGAACAAGAAGTTTTGCCAGTGGAGAACCTGTCCTCCGTGCACTCTTCCCTGCTTCCTCCCCTCCCCTCCCCTCGCCTGCGTGCGGGGGATGGGACCCAGAGTCTTGGGCACTAGGCAAGCACTCCGCCACTGAGCTACACTCCCAGCCCTGGGCATTTCTGATAACATTTGATTTCTAAAGCGAGCTCATGAGCAACCCTTTGGCATATACTTTTCTTCCCCTGCATTTTCTGACATGGCCTGTCATCTGGCCTTGAACTCACTGTGCAGCCCAGGCTGGCCTCGAACTAGTGGCACTCCTCCTGCCTCAGCCTCCCGAGGGCGGGGATTACAGGCGTGCACCCCGATGCCTGGATTGGTATATACAGCGGTACTTTGATGCACGGATAATTCTTGTACTCTTTCCCTGACCTATCTGTTAAAGTCGTGGCACGAATGTCTTTAAGATCTCGTGTGAGTTTTTATAATCGTATAAAAATTATATTCCATTCTCTGTGAGTATAGCTTTTAATATGAAATGAGCCTCCTTTCCCCAACTCCTCACTCCTCAAAGTCTAGTTATAATACGGAAGCAGCAAGAAAGTGGGTCAGTTAGATCCAGCTTTTGTATTCCCGAAACATCTCACACCAAGGGACATAAGTCGCCCCGAGCTTCAGTTACAAGCACTCAGCTCCTGCCTGCTGCTGTGGTGGCAAATAATCCCAGCACTCGGGAGGCTGAGGCAGGAAGATTGCTGGGAGTTCCAGGCCAGCCTGAGTTACATAGCAAGACTTTGTCTCTAAATAAATAAATAAATAAATAAATGTCCTATTTACTGATTTCAAGACCCAGAGAGGTAGGTATCAGGTAGCCTGGCTCCAGCATCCTTCCTGTTCTTGGACGGCCCTAGGGCTGACCTTGCTGGGCAGCTTCCGTCTTTCCCTACCCTGACCTCCTGCCCCTTCCGGCCTCCTTGCCTGGGGTCTCCCCGGCTCACCTTCGTTCTGTGCGCTTCTCAGGGAGCCTCCTGCGTGGCTCTGCTCTTGTTTTGGTGACTGGTGAGTTGTCTTTAGGTGGGGGCACACAGCCCCTTAGGCCCAAGGTAGACAGTGACACAAGGCCAGTCACTCTATCAAGTATTCCAAGAAATTTTTATTGGTTACCAGCTCCTTGCGATATAGGAGAAATTTAACTCCGACCTGTGAGATGTCAGGTGTGTACAGTTCATGTCCCACAGCGCAGAGGAACGAAGTCATGAACCAAGAGGTGAAGTTAGGAGCATTTTATTGGAAGTAAGGAGAGACAGCTCCTGGATTTCCAGGGGGGGTTCTGAGTGGGGTGGCCACTGAGGCCTTTTGTCAGGGTAATTTTTACAGTAAAGTCATGACGTAGGTACAATCTGGGCCAAACTACAGTCACCCTGTAGGATTACAAGTACAGCTGCTTAGCTAATAGTGACACAACAGGGAAATGAGTCACGCAGCAAGGGTGCGTGGGGAGAAGAAAGGCCTCTTTGGGAAGGGAGGGTCCGGATGCTCTGGCTGAGGCCCGTGTGGACTAACTGGACCTGTGGTGCTAATTACAGTGTAACTTTAATTTTTTTTTTTTTTTTTGAGACAGGGTCTTACTATGCATTTCAGACTGGCCTTGAGCTCACTTTGTAGCCCAGGCTGACCTCGAACTCACAATGATCCTCCTGCCTCAGCCTCCCGAGTGCTGAGATTACAGGCGTACGCCACCACGCCCAACCTACAGTGTAACTTTAAATTACTGCTGATCACTCGGGGAGGCATGCAGGCCTGGCCACTGCATCTTCATCTTGAGGCTTGGCCTTCTGCAGATGCCCCTCCAGCCACCGTTTTGATGTCTGTGTTTTTGCTGACTTCCTTGAGGGTCCAGGCCTTCTGACTATATGAATGTCTATGGAACTTAGCTGCCTGTAATACTTGGACTGAGAGCTGTGCTCCACCCTGGAGGTGACAGGAGGAAAAGAATAGAAACGCTGTCCATCCCAACAGTGCTTCCAAGTCACTGGGAAAGACACAATCTAACACACGCACCGGGCCAGGACCTTGAAGTGGCCACAGTGGAGAGAGAACAGGTATCACGAGGAGGATCTGCTCCTGGGCGGTGGTGAGGAATGACGTTTTAGCAGCAGTGCAGAGGAGGGGAGAAGGCAGCGAGATGACAGGGGCGGGAGCGAGGGCGGGCGTCCCCAGCAGACGGACAGCAAGTGTAAGAGTCCCGAGGCGGGGAAGGGAGACCCAGCAACGTGAGGGACTGAGAGGGGGCCGGTGGGGTTGGAGAAGACAGAGAAAGTGGTATGAAAATGTGCCAGGGAGAAGGCGGGGGCCAGATTCTAAAACCCAAATAGCTAATTACAACTGGGTGCACACGGGTACACAGTCAGGTGTACGCGAACAGGCTTGCTAAGTCCCAGAGCAAGTTAAGCAGGAGGAACTTGAAGTAGAAACAAATTAACCAAGACTTGCAGTTCAGTAAGAGGCCAGTTCAGTTTGATAAATAGTCCACAGAATGTTAGCGACAAGGCAGAGAGCTGTCTGTTGACTGCATAAAAGAACGGGTGGGTAATGGATGAATGAAGATTGAGTAGTGTTGGACGCCTCTGTGTCCAGCCATGCTCCAAGCAGAAGCCCAAAGCGGCTCTTTCTCTTCCAGAGCAAATTACCCACAGTGCTCTTCTTTCTTGTTGCCATGGTGCTCTGTACACATGACTGTCATGGCACTGCCTGACTGTATTGTAGTGATGGTTTGCTGCTGGCCTTTCTCACCGTCTCTGAGCTCCTTGAAGGCGGGGACCAGGCCTTATTCATTTTTTCACCCTCAGCACCCACACAGTGCCTAGCACATAATAGGTGCTCAGTAAGTGTTGGCTAAGAAATGCACACCGTCCTGTCTGTATAGAATCAACCAGACCGCACTATGACCAGGATGACCAAGGGGCACAGCTGCCTAAGCTTGCTGCACCTTTGGGACTGCCAGCGAACATTTCAGGAGCCAGCTGAATTGCAGTTCTCTTTTGTAGCCAAAGAAAAGAGTTCACTGAGTCGATCTTAACCTTTTCTTTTTTGAGACGGGATTTCACTGCGTAGTTCAGATTGGCTTTCAATTCGCTGTATAGCCCAGTTGAACTCATGACAGTTCTCCTGCCTCAGCCTCCCAAGTGCTGGGGTTACAGACATGCACCATCATGCCTGGCTTTTAACCTCATTTTTATGAGGTTAAAAAGCCAGGATCTTGTTTTTTCTTGCAGTGTTTTTGGACTTATTTTCCCCTGGTCCTGAGGATTAAACCTAGGGCCTCCAGACTGAGGTACAGCACCATCACTTTTTTTGGGGGGGAGGCAGGGTCTTGCTATGTAGTTTAGGCTGGCCTTGAACTCATTATGTAGCCTATGCCAGTCTTGAACTCATGGTGAACCTCCTGCCTCAGCCTCCTGAGTGCTGGGATTATAGGCATGTGGCACCACGCCCCAACTCATCACTTTTTATTTATTTATTTATATTTTAATTTTGAGACCAGGTTTGATTAAGTCACTGAATCACTCAGGCTGGGTCTGAAATTTTGATCCTGTTGCCTCAGCCTCGCAGAGCGCCTTATAGGGTTTGCGCCACCAAACCCTAGCGGGTACCCTTCTGTGTCTCGCACCGCAGGGGGCATGCCGGTCGCTTCCTCTTGTCTAGGCCACGCTTCTAGGACATACTTAACTGCAGAGGCTCAGTGCTTCACCCGAAGTTGAGCTGGGAGACAGGGCGTGGTGCAGACTGCGCTGGAAAGAAGGGCATCGTGGGAGCCCAGGGTCTGCACAGCTCTGCCCCTCAGGGCCCCGTGCGCAGAACTTCTCACCACTGCCCACAAGATGCAACCAACAGAGAGACGCAGGCCGGAGGAGCCGCCATCGTGACTGCACGGCAGCCAGCTTGCGTCTCCCCGGCCCGGTGTACCTGCGTTTCTGTTCCTTACCTCTTCTCCTCTTTTGTTCAGCCCACATTTGCTCTGCAGAGCCGGTTTCTCCCTTTCCCTTCACCCCTCACTTTTCCAATAAACTTCTGGCACCATCTTTGGCTTGTCTCGTTCAAGTTTTTGTTTGAGGTGAGGGGACCTGGAATACGTTTAACCTGTGAGCCGTTTCTAAAGGAACCACCGACAGGAAGTCACAGCCAATGGGCCGGGCCTTCTCTCCCTCATGCTGCCGCTTTACTTCCCCTCCTCAAAGGGAGATGGTTCACGGCCACAGTCTGGGAGAGCTCGAGCGCTGTGGACCTTCTTCTGCTGAGCCCAGCCCTGGCAGCTTTGGTGAGAAGCTTCAGGGTCTGCCAGGGGCTGCGGGCATCTGGTGTACCCGGGGAGCTCATCAGCCAGAGCCGCTCCCTCTCCACTCCCAGAGGCGGCCTGGTACAGCTGCAGCTACACAGGGGCAGGCAGTGAGGGAAGCTTGCTGACCTGAAGTCAGACAGCAGACAGCAGGGAGGGGCTCCAGGGCCAGGGAGCCTTTGGCTGGAGACGAGTGAGTGTTGTCACTGGGTCCTAGGGCAGATGACGGCCGGCATCTAGATGTGAGCCCTGGTCCTGCTCCGGTGCTGCTCACCTGCGATGGGGGGGGGGCTGCCACGCCTTCTTCAGGAGCGGGAAGCCAAGTCTACTGTTACTCTTTCCTCCCCTTCGGGGTTAATGGGCAGCTTCAAAACCTGAAGACAAACAGCCTCTTTCCCTATTGAAAAATTCATTAAGTAATTGCTGAGTGCTGAGTTCTAAGCATTTACTTGAAGACGAAAGGGCAGTTGCTATTCTCAAGATGTTTACAGTCTAGCAGGAAAGGAAGCTGACTCGCAAAAATTGTCCACGAGAAAGAACGTGGTTAAGGGTCATAAAGAGTCTTAGATGCTGGTTTAATGACAGCAAAGCAGAGTGGGCATCGGGGAGGCCGTCCATTCTGAAAGGGCCAGGAATTACATTTGGAAGACAAATGGTGACAAACACCTCGGATTCTAGGCCACCGAGCAGTTTCTATGGCTGCAATCCCCCTTTCTCATCCAGGGCGGTGGTAATAATACCAACGACCTTTCTTGGGCCCTCGCTACTCCATGCTATCATTACCACTACCCAGGGGCAGGTGTTCCATCACCCTGCATTATAGCTGAGGAAACTGAGACTTCGAGAGGTTGAGTAACCTAGCCAAAGTCAATCAGTTGGAAAAAGTTGGAGGTGAGACGTGAGCTCAACTAAAATTAAATCTATAGGGGAAGCTGCACAGAGGGGAGCTCTGGCCTTTGGGCCAGACCCCAGCTGCGCAGGTGCCTGGGAGGCGGACAGCCAGTGTCTGGGAAGCCATGCGGTGGCGTGCACTGGAGCATGCCAGCCATCACACCAGCCACTGCCACGAAGTCGAGAACTGTCATGGCCCAGAAAAACAATGACACAGTTGGCCTGCCATG